TGATTGTATGTGTGTGGGGTGTGTGTGTATATGGGGTGTGTGAGTGTGCATGCGTGTGTGACTATGTGTGTATATAGGGTGTGTGAGTGTGAATGTGTGTGACTGTGTATGATTGTGAGTATGTGTGTGGGGTGAGTGTGTGTGTATATGGGGTGTGTGAATATGCATACGTGTGTGTGAATGTGTGTGACTGTGTGTGTGAGCTGCAGTTTTCATCGCACACTGCTGTTGTAAAGGCGCAGTGGTCCTGCTGCTGATGGAGCAGAGGCCGGGCGTGTGGGTGTGAGTCCCAAGCAGAGAGAGGGTGTTGCTCTCCCTTCACCAGGGAGCGAGCAGGCTGCTTCGTGTGACTCCTGCTTAGAAGAGAGCCTATTAAGCTGGTCCTATGGGTGCAGAGAATGCACAGTGAGTAGAATTTGAAACTGTCTAAGAGCAGGCCTGTGGCTGACAGCTCTCAGGGGAGCCTCTCTTGCTGCCTTGGAGGTGGATTCTGTTTCAAGTCTTTCCTGGCAATATGGTGCTCAGGGGGCTGGCGTGTTCCAGCTGTACCCAGCAAGCCACGCTGCCTTTTCCCCTCATGCCAAATCCTTGTTCGTGTGGGCCCCAGGGGCTGACCGAGAACTGGCAATGCCAATCACTATGGTTTTTGAATTTCTCTTTCCTTCAGCCCCCCAGGGATTTCCCTGGGTTCTTTCCAGCTAGGAGATGCATCTTCAGTGGTTTGCATTCTGATTCATCTGCATCTCTGGGTGTTTTGAAGCAGAAGGCTTTCCAGAGTTTCTAGTCTACAGTAACGCCAGAGACTAAGCAACAGTGCTGTCCCTTTCTTCTGAACCTGCACATTCTGTGGGCTGTGCCTGGCATAGTCTTGGCCTTGGGAAAGCAGGCTGAGCCACTGTTTTGTGGCAGCCGGTGAGGGCACTTTGCAGGACAGAGAGGAGATGCTGTGAGTACGGTTGGAAGTTGTTCCACGGGGGTGGTGTCACTCACGTTTGAATTGCACATCTCTGTCTATGCCATGTTTTGACTGTGTTTTCCAAATCCTAGCTGGGATTGTGGGGCCTGCCTTCTCAGGCCTTTCCATGCATGTCACCAGAATCAGGAGGACTGTTCTCAAGCCTGACCCTCTATGACAGACAGCTTTTTAAAAGTGTAATTCACAGGACCCCCAAAAGACCTCAGGTAAGCCAAAACAGAGGTTTGCAAGGAGGGTGTCTCGGCTGCTCCCGATAGGGCCTAAGCTCAGCTGATATTTGGGAAATTAATTCAGATTAGTGTGAGTGCCCTTCTAGAAACTCTGGAAGAAAAAAATAATGATAGTTATCTTTTTAAATTACCGTGAAGTTTTTTAACCACAAGAGTTACTCAAAATGTGTAGCTGTGTGTTTTGTGAGTGGCTCAGCTCGGGAGACGGCACCCACCTCACAGCACTCGCAGTAGTTCTTCAGGCAGCCCGACCTCCTGCAGCTGCGCCCTTTGCTGTGCCGGGGCTTGACGTCGCCCAGCTGGCCCTTCCCAATTTTGGGCTGGAAAGCTTCTGGATTTCTACCAAGACATGCCTAGAGTGGAATGGGAAGCTCCATCAGGATGGATTTTATCATTCAAAACTCAGGGTCAGTGAAGGGCATCTTGTTTGGTTGTTGTGAAAGGTGCCACAGGAAGCAGTGAGTCTCTTTACACAGTTCAGAACGTGCAGCCCCTTCTTGTTTCATTTCAATTAGTTTCCACACAAAAAAGGCGATATCGTAGCTATGGTTTCTTCACGTTTTATTTTCTGAGTTTCTAAGCCATACATATTTACTGCAAAAAATAATGGATGGTAAAGAGGCAAAGAAAATCATTGTTTCCGTGTGGACACATTTCCATCCGGCATTTCTGGGGCTCTCTTTCCTAAGACGGTTGAGGTTGTGGACGATCCTAACCGCTCACACTGCCTGAACACGACTCAACAGACCACGTGCCAGGCATCTTTCCATGGCATTCATATACACGCCCTCTCATTTAATCCTCAGCAACCTTGGGAAGTAAAATCTACTACTGTATGATTGTTTCATATGTGGAGAAACTGAGGCACCGAGAGGTTAAATAACAGCTGGCGAGTGGCAGGATCCTGATTCAAGGTCCGCATGCCGACTTCAGAGCGGGTCTCAACCTCTGGGCCATGCCTTTCTCAGACAATATGTATGACTTGTTATGAGGGTCTGTGTGTTGTCACTTTTTAATCTCTCTATATACACACATACATACATAGCTTTACATACAAAATGATTCAATGCTCTTCGTAAAGATTCAAATAATACAGCAACCACAGTGGAAGTCCGCGGCCTCCCTTCCGCTTCCTGGGGTTGACATTGGAATCCGTGCTGTCCAGCAGCACAGCCCCGAGCATAAGGCCATCAGTGAGAACGTGCTGCGGGACAGTCCCAGCCTGCAGTGTGTGGCTTTAGGAGTTTTCACAGATCATTGAAGTGTGACAGGCAGTGGATACACACATCTGCAGCTGTGGCATGATGATCTTGTGCACATGTGCACACCTGTGTACCTGCTACTAAGGTCAAGTTAGAGGACAGGCAGCCCCACGGCTGCCTTGAGACTTCTCCCCAGCAGTGCACCCCCACGGGGAACCGCTATTCTGACTTAGAGGGCTTTAGGTTCGCCTATGCTGGTGCTTCAGGTAAGTGCAATCCCACAGCGTGCACTCCCACGTCTACTGCTTCCCTCAGGTAGCGTCTGGGAGATCCATCCGCACTGCTGCGCTTAGCTGCAGCTCCTGCTTTTCATCGACGTGCGGATGTATCCATTCTGCCACAGATGGACATTTGGGCTGTTTCCAGTGCCTAGCTACCCTGAATGGAGCTGCTATGACATTCCTGTGCAAGTCTTCTGGTGGACATCTGCACTCATTTCTAGTGGCTGTACTTTTAGGAATGAAATGGCTGGGCCATGGCATACACAAAAGTTTAGGTTTAGTAGCTGTGGTCAAACAGTTTCCCAAAGTGGTTGTGCCAATTTATATTTCTATCAGCAATGTATAAGAATCCAACACTTTTTGTTTTTACAGTTTTAATTGTAGATAGTACTCTTTATCCCTAAATAAAATGTGACTAAAGTTTATATCCATGACAATATTCTTCTGTCCTATGGATGTGGCTATATCAAAATTGGTAAGCTATTTCAAGTCACTTATCCATAATTCAAGAGGGGAATGAAATTATTTCAGAAAACAATGCAGAGAGCAGCCGTGCCCTTATAATTGTGTTCTATTTGCACAGGACAGTCTCGGGTCTACGGTCGATGGCTCTCGACTTCCCTTCATGAATGAGTGGGCACGGGAAGTGTCTCCCTGGAACAGGTTGACAGCCCTGAGCCTAACTGTCCCTCCCTTCTCCCTAATTATCTTTTGTGTCCACAGAAAGGGATCAAAGCTGCAAGCTCCTGTGTTTAGCCTTCGGCAGAGTGGCTATCGGGGCCATCAAAGTCACCTTTTGAGTCTCTGGGAAAACCTAGATTCTTCTTCTCTTCTTCTAGAAGCCAAGAGGTCACATTTAAGTTGTTAAATTTTATAATTAAAAACGTAGGCTGCCTGAGCACTTTCACCCAGCCTTCTCATGCAGCGGACTGTCTACACCTTTGCAGACTGCACGGCTCCAGTTCACGCTTATCTCCTATATAAGATGATCCCAAATGGCTAAACTCCAAGACAAAGCAGATGTTCACATGTCCTTGAATCAGAACCTTCCTAGGCTGCTGCACCTCTGAAGCCTTCCCACATAATAAAGAGAAAAAGGCCTTTCTCTGCCTACCGCTTTTACAACAGCCCCTTGTCATGGTTCAATACCCCCACTGGCAGGAATCAAGTCGTATTCAATGTATATTCTTCAAAACTGTGGGGTTTTTCCAATGAGGAATCTCTGGAGATCATTTTATGAACATCTCAAATAATTTGAAATGTTTTTAAAATGCACTCATTTAATTGACATCTATTACCTTAATGGCTTTAAACCGTTCAATTTCATGATGCAAGTTGTTGCAACAGTTATTACAATTGCAGTTGTTGCCAAAGTCCCCACTGGTGAAGCAGTCACAGTACCTGTGAAGGAAAGGACAGAGTGAGTGGCAGGCACAGACGGCACAGTCAGTAGTGAAAAGAGCACACACGTGTAAGAAAGGAGCAGTAATGTGCTGCAGTCAGAACGCTGAACACTAGAACACTAAACACTAGAACACTAGACACGAGAACACTAGACACGGGAACACTAGACACTAGAACACTAGATACGAGAACACTAGACACGAGAACACTAGACACGAGAACACTAGACATGAGAACACTAGACACTAGAACACTAGATACGAGAACACTAGACACGGGAACACTAGACACTAGAACACTAGATAC